ACTACCACTGGAGGCTCTGGCTGCATGGGCGTTCTGACGTCTTGCGATTGCGTTGCGGAAGTCGCGATGGCTACACTAGATCTGGTCCTTGCATATGGACTCCTCCCCTTCGATGCCCTTGACTTGTTCACTCGTAACATGGCTCATAAAATAAAAATAAATTATTACATTTTTTATTTAATTATTTTATTATTCATAATTATTTATTATTATTATCATTATATATGATTATTGGCAAAATAGAGTTATTTATTTATGCATTTTGTTTAAGCCTATGTTTAAAACCAAAATTTATTCAAGATGGCCGACAGCAAATGCAAATTTTTACAAGATCTAAATGTACTTTAGCTTCTCAACAATCACTGATACACCGGAAAATTAGTAAGAAATAATTCATATAAACAATACTTTTATTTACTTACTTCACTTGTTGTGAAAATACTTTCCTTAATTTGATGATGATCGAGATATGATTCTTCACCAAAATTTTCCCGGCCTACACCTTCGGAGAATGACGGAAAAGGAAGCTGAAGTTGAGCATGCTCAATGACGCTAAATTGGTTGCACCCAAAATTAGAGTTATCCTTCTTGACCCATAATAAATATAATACGCAAATGTTGTGCTCGAAATAACCTGGCTTATCCATATGAGATAAACCTAATTATTTTGATAGTTAATTCGTATAAGTAAAACTTACAAATTTTACGTAAAACAATCCTGAATTAAAGAAAATTCTTACGCAACGTTAGATTTACGTTAGAATGACGTTACGCCGTTTCATGGGTTTGGACACATTATAAATGACGTCATTCAATCGCCTGTTACTTGGTTACTATTAGGATTTAAACAACCAAACTTGGTTATATTATTTTTCAGATCAGTGCACTAATTTCCAGTGAAAAACTCATTTTCATTAAAAATGTCATCAAGACCCCTTTTCCCAGAGAGCGGTCCATATCTATTTCCCAATTGAGAAATACTTGAAGAAATTTATTATTTTTTCCATGCCATAAAAACATCGTTTATATTAGTATTGATGTTTTATTAAGCTAACCTATGCTTCATTCATTGAAAAAATATTTTATGCAATTACCGGTAAATTTCCACTTTTATGTTTAAAAAAATGTTAACAACTCTTAAGGTAGAACCTATGTCGGAAAAGTCTTTTGTCATTCGACTTTCAAACTTTTTAAAATGATAAATTAGTACTTGCTAATCAATCAGTTAAAAGCCCACGATATGTTTCCTTATTTCTTAATGTAGTACAGCATGGAAAGACATAGACGCTTCATAGTTGTTTATCCTGTTAAAGTAGAGTTAAGTAATAAAAGAAAGTAAAACCTTAACAAAGGAAATTATACAACAAGAGCAATTCTTAAAAAATAATGTCAAGTACTGTATTAGAAAAAGAATATAATGAGTGGGCATTGGATTATTCTGTGTGATATGTATCGGAATAATATTTTTTTTTAGAAATTCTTGACGCTTTGTTTGACGTTACATTACCGTTAAGTGTGCTCCGCAGACACAAAACTTGTTGATTTTAAAATGAAGTAAAATGGTTTCTGTTAATTCTAATAGAATGAAACTTCACATATCAACAAAACAAAAATGTTTACATATTATATTGTGCTTATTTTAATTTTCTAGTGAGTAAAGAGTGCGGTTGTTTTAGACCTTGCTGAAGAGTGGGAAAACTTGCAGCCCATTTAGTCTTTGCTGCTTAGCTACAAAATCACGTCTCACAACTTTTAAAGAGGGTGCCTCAAAACTGGGTTAGTCTTATACTGGATTTCTCAGTATACTTTGCATGTACAAATGTTAAGAAAAAGGAAATTTTGAGTGCCGACTTGGTTCATGATGATATTTCCACTTACCCTGCAGTATCATATTGAGTATGTCCTAAAGAAAATTGTGATATTATAATTAAGCCGTAATATTTGATTCACATGATGCTCAAACAGTTGCCACAAATCTTTCCAGAGGAAATGAACATTTGCAGCAAGAAAAAGGGTTACATATTGAAAAAGAAATCCAATTTAGAAATGGGTTCTCTGCCCAATACAGATCTAAAACTCCTTTTCCCGATTTATCCTTCAGCGCGGAGGACTATAGATTTAATGTGGAAAGACACTTACGGTTCATGACATGGAAAAGGCCCTTCAGATGGTGCAGGAGCAGCGGTCAAGTTGAGATCAAAATGAGCAGTTATGGCATGAATTTTGATATCAATAATGCAGATGATTTTTAAAGATTTTTTTTATGAAAGCACAGAAGAAAAACAAGAAATGTTTGTGAAACACTTATGCCCACCCCGCATCCCTAATTATAGGATTTTCTAAAGTCCAATGGCATACTTGACCTAGATATTCTTATGAAAAATCTGTACCAAATTTAATAATGAACTGCAGTTGCAAAAAATCGAGTTTTTTTTTTAAGTTTGATGGCCTTGTGGAGACCCGGGGTCACAAGAATAGGACCAGTGCACCGCCTTGCATGTCGTACAAGGCGACTAAATGGGGCAACCTCTTGGCCGTGGGTTGCGACCCGTGTTGGCGGAGAAGGGTATCCTGGTGGATGAGGTCTGCAGGTGCTGGGTATCACTCACCTAGTTAACATGACCAACACTCCACTTTGGCCCAATATTCATCTAGACGGGCCTGACTTGATCAATCGGCTCTTCCTATTGAAGTCAGCGAGAAACAACATTCAACTTAATTGTTGGCTTCTAAAATGTTGGCAGATACACCTGAACTTGGAAAGGTTCATAGCGGACTTGATCAGAGCAAAGGTATTTTGTTTGACAGGGGGATCATTACCTGGATTGGTATTTCTGAACAGAAAATCCAACATGAATTGGAATCGCAGTGGGTGATCTCTGTAAAACAATTCACATAAAGCGTAATTATGTTGTTGAACTAACAGATACTCACCTTTTGTATGCCAACTCTCCCAACAAACATTAAAGTTGGGCTGTACCAGATGAAAATTGAAACGTTTGTGCCCAATCCTTTGCGATGCTTTAAATGTCAGCGATTCGGGCAAGGGCAAATGAATTGTTAAGGATCTGAAACATGCTTCAAGTGTAGTGAGGAGAAATATGACGGCAAAACTTGTCAGAATGACCCAAAATGTAAAAACTGCAAAGAGGAACACATGTCGTCTTCAAAACAATGCCCGATATGGAAAAAGAAATACAAAAAAAAAGAGAAAGAAATACCATATCCGAAAGCTGAAAAAATTAGTAAACCTGTACTTCATTCCAAAACCAAATTTGACGTACTGTATGGAACCGTTGTTAAATCATCCTCTTTGAAGGAAGTGTCTTCGAGAAGTTTTTTTTTTCGAACAGACCTCATTATCTGAAGAACCTATGTCTTCTCATGACAACGGTAAATCTACTTTATCACCTGCTACTGCTACTGCAGGTCATGCAGCTGTGCACGGCTGCACCAAAAACTGGAGCCACTGCTAAATGAAAGCCTGAATCTGCAGTTACATCTAAACCATTCGGGAGATAAAACATCTCCCTAAAAAAAAAACTCGTCGCTTTCCACAATAAATTTTGGGTCCTAGAGGAAATGGACGTTACAACTTGTCATTTTTCCTCGCAGGTCGAAAGTGTGTCACCGAACAAAAACAAAGGAAGGATATCCCCCATTTCGTATAATAAGAAATAAATATTAATCATCCTACAATTATACAATGGAATTGCCGAGATTTTCGAGTTAACTTTAACGATTTATCTTTACTTATTCAGGACCAGTGCCCGGTAACTTTATGTTGACAAGAAACCAATTTAAAAGAAAGAGATAAGATCAACATTAAATACAGTATGTATAACCATTATGCTCAAACTGATACAGCATCTGATGGTACTTCTATAGCAATGAACAATAAATACATTCACAGCCAAATAAGCTTAAAAAATAATCTTCAGGCAGTAGCTGTACGCCTTTCTCTCGACAAGACACGTATCCTGTGTTCTGTATATGTACCCCAACACTTTCAATTACAATCTTTGGAACTAACAAAATTAATAGAACAACTCCCTGCTCCATTTCTGATTTTTGTTGGCCTAAATAACCATAATCCGCTGTGGGGTAGCGACAAAATCTCAGATAAAGGGAAAAGGTTGAAGATGCAATATCGCATCATAATCTTTGTATACTTAAAGACGGCTGAGACACCTACTTGCATCCGGGTAATCGTTCTTATTCTTCAATAGATATCAGTTTAGTAGATCCTTCTTTACTCCTAGCTTTAAGTTGGTCAATGCATGAGGATTTAAGCGGATTTAATCATACTTAGATTAACCACACCCTCTGAAAATAGCAATTTTCAAAACTGGAAATTAAACAAGGTTGATTGGAATGAATTTGAATACTTGTGCTTTCAAAATATTTTGGATGAACAAGAGGCCCATGGGCCTTATAGGTCACCTGAGCATTATGCAACAACTTTCCAGTGATTTAATTTGATTCATGTTTTAAGCCAGATGCTATGGCGTTCACAATTTTGAAAGAGGCACCATTGATCATCATAATAATACACTTAGCAGTTGCTTAGTTTGTTTACTTAATACCCATATGCAGGGTAAGGGAACAAAAAATGCATTTCAATTAATCAGTAATATTCAGCAATAATCAGTAGTGCCCCTACCACACATGAACCCCTGATCCTTAGGCCTTGATATCTGATTAATACCAAGGAGCAGATTTCAAACCATTCATTCATTTTCAGTATATAAGTACACCCCCCCCCTTCTATGGTACCCCTGACCCTGGGGCCTTGAAATTCACAATTCTGGAAGATATGGGCCTTTGTCCAGCATAACTATATAGGTAGTTCATCTGCTTAATACCCTGGAGCAGAGAAGAAAATTTTCAAAGATTTAATGTATTTTCACTATATAATCTATAGAGCCCCGCCCTAAAACCAGAACCCCTGACCCTGGGGCCATAAAATTCACAATTTTGGTAGAGGCACTCTTGCTCATCATAACTATGCACTTAGTTCGTTTATTTAATTCCCAGGAGCAGAAAAGAAGATTTTCAAAGAATTCATGTATTTTCACTGTATAATCAATAGAGCCCCGCCCTAACACCAGAACCCCTGACCCTGGGGCCAAACAAATTCATAATTTTGGTAGAGGCACTCTTGCTCATCATAACTATGCACTTAGTTAGTTTATTTAATATCCAGGAGCAGAGAAGAAGATTTTCAGAGATTTAATGTATTTTCACTATATAATCTATAGAGTCCCGCCCTAACACTAGAACCCCTGACCCTGGGGCCATAAAATTCACAATTTTGGTAGAGGCACTCTTGCTCATCATAACTATGCACTTAGTTCGTTTATTTAATTCCCAGGAGCAGAGAAGAAGATTTTCAAAGAATTCATGTATTTTCACTATATAATCAATAGAGCCCCGCCCTAAAACCAGAACCCCTGACCCTGGGGCCATAAAATTCACAATTTTGGTAGAGGCACTCTTGCTCATCATAACTATGCACTTAGTTTATTTAATACCCAGGAGCAGAGAAGAAGATTTTCGAGGAGTTCATGTATTTTCACTATATAATCAATAGAGCCCCGCCCTAACACCAGAACCCCTGACCCTGGGGCCATAAAATTCACAATTTTGGTAGAGGCACTCTTGCTCATCATAACTATGTGCTTAGTTGGTTTATTCAATACCTGGGAGCAGAGAAGAAGATTTTCAAAGAAATAATGCATTTTCACTACCTACTTATTTAGCCCCGCCCTAGCACTAGAACCCCTGACCCCAGGGCCATGAATTTCACAATTTTGGTAGAGGACTCCTTGCTGATTACAATCATGCAAACAGTTTGACTGCTTGATGTTCAGGAGTAAAGAAGAAGATTTTAAAGATTGCATTAATCCAGGGGGGCAGGGATCATGAAATTCACAATTTTTGTTCCCCTTATACCCATAGATGCTTTAGGCCAAATTTGGTTGAAATTGGTTCAGTGGTTGCAGAGAAGAAGCTGAAAATGTTCAAATGTTAACGCACGACGCACAACGCACGACGACGGACGAAAACAGATAGCAATAGGTCACCTGAGTTTACTCAGGTGACCTAAATATTTAAGAATCATCCTGATCCTATTCAAAATTTTACTGAAATACTTTTAAATATTGCAAATGAATTGCAAATATACTAGTCAAAATATCTAAGTCCCCGGGCAAGTTTTTGCTTTACACCGCTCTTATATTGAATTATTTTAACCAGTGACGTATAACAAGGGGACTGCCGACTCCTTCGGAATGTTTCGGATTTTTTCACACTGTATCTAAATATTGAAGGTTCCGAATGAAATTGATGTTGCTTTCTTCGCAGCGCCCCCACCGGGAGTCATAGAAAAGGTAAACAACATGGCGGCTAACGTTAATTTGTAACTTCGCGATGGGGGGGAAACACTGCTGCGTCGTTGGTTGCAGCAATTCAAATGAAAAAACAAAAGGACAGACAAGTCACATAAGTTATTTCTCATTTCCGAAGGATCCAGAATGGAGATCCAAGTTGATAGCGGCCGTAAACAGGAGTGACAAGGCATTCAATCCTGAGTGTACACATATTTGCTCCATGCACTTTGAGGAGAAGTGTTTTTTTGTTTCATGGTAAGGCAGCATACAAACAACGATTGAATATACATTTTTTTAAATAATTTTATTTTGACATATATTAACATCCTAAATGAAATCCTTAAGGGAAAGGATATAAGCTGATACCGGGAAGTCTCCCGACAGTGGCAATGCCAAAGAAAAGCATAGAGACACCCCGCCCACATCCAAGACCTGCACCAGTAAATGATTGAAAAAAAATTGTTTCACACAAGTTTAAATAATTTAGTATTTATTTTTCAGTTACGATAATTTCCATAAGTGTTGTTCTATTTTTTTGTTGTTGTTGTTGTTGATATTTCCTCTTTTCTGGTTTTGTTGTTGATTTTTTTTTAAATCATTATTTTGCTTATTTGATGCCGAGTAAATCTTAAGTAAAAGAACAGATGCCCTTCCACAAAAAATCTTATGACTCGGATAAAAATCTAATATCTCTGTAATTTTTTATTTAATAAATGTTTTCTTTTTTTTGTAAAATATTTTTACTAAGTAACTTAGTGCAGGGACCTATATACTAACTAGTATATAGGTCCCTGCTTAGTGTAATAGAAATATAAGATAATTTTATGTCCTAGGCTTCTACAGCTTTGATACTTGTTTAGGAATGGGAAAGTTTTTATCTTAAATTAGTCGGAAGATTTTTTGTGAAAAGGGTTAAATTACCGATACTTTTATTATTGAATAATTTTTGCAGTATAAAAGACTAGTTTTATGGGACACTTTATTCAGATGATTAAATTTTTAAAAATCAGTACAGATTCTTTACTTATGAGCAATCTTATAGTGTTATTAGTCACAATTCTATTTGAGATATTAACTTAAGAAATAAAATATCATTTTTAGAGTTTCATTGGGGCGTGACATGAAGTCGGTCACATTGATCAAATTCTATAACGCCCAAAGGGCATTATTATAATTTATGTGATACTTTGTAGACAAAACGTCCATCGCCACCTATTCCAGAGAGAGTTACCTACAGTTCCCTGTCAGATCTTCAGAAGACACTGAAAAATAAAGACCTCCATGGCTGGAGCATCCTGAAAACTGACAGTGATGTCCTTGTTCTTGGACTATATGATCACTCCTCTGGATGCCTTCAAAAGACAGTTACAGTGGACATTTATTTAAATGTCAATGTCCGCTTTGGGGGTAAAAATGTGTTTATAAACCTATTAATCCCTTTTTTAGCTCTACTGGTCAGAGACCAGAAGAGCTTATGCGATAGTAATGCATCCGTCGTCCGTCCGTCTGTCTGTCTGTAAACAATTTTTCAAAATGCTACTCCTCCTACAGTTTTGGTCTGATTTCAATATAACTTGGCACACAAGTAGACTACACTAAGATACATAATTCTGTGTATCGGTTTTTGATTTCGATGAACGGTGTTGCCGTGGTTACTAAAAATAGAAATTTCTGTGAAATTCTTTCAAAATGCTACTCCTCCTACAGTTTTAGTCTGATTTCAATATAACTTGGCACACAAGTAGACTACACTAAGATACACAATTCTGTGTATCGGTTTTCGATTTCGATGAACTTTGTTGCCGTGGTTACTAAAAATAGAAATTTCTGTGAAATTCTTTCAAAATGCTACTCCTTCTACAGTTTAAGTCTGATTTCAATATAACTTGGCACACAAGTAGACTACAATATGATACATAATTCTGTGTATCAGTTTTTGATTTCGATGAACGGTGTTCCGTGGTTACTAAAAATAGAAATTTCTGTGAAATTCTTTCAAAATGCTACTCCTCCTACAGTTTTAGTCTGATTTCAATATAACTTGGCACACAAGTAGACTACACTAAGATACACAATTCTGTGTATCGGTTTTTGATTTTGATGAACGGTGTTGCCATGGTTACTAAAAATAGAAATTTCTTTAAAATTCTTTCAAAATGCTACTCCTTCTACAGTTTTAGTCTGATTTCAATATAACTTGGCACACAAGTAGACTACAATAAGATACATAATTCTGTGTATCAGTTTTTGATTTCGATGAACCGTGTTCCGTGGTTACTAAAAATAGAAATTTCTGTGAAATTCTTTCAAAATGCTACTCCTTCTACAGTTTTAGTCAGATTTCAATATAACTTGGCACACAAGTAGACTACACTAAGATACATAATTCTGTTTATCGGTTTTCGATTTCGATGAATTTTGTTGCCGTGTTTACTAAAAATAGAAATTTCTGTGAAATTCTTTCAAAATGCTACTCCTCCTACAGTTTTAGTCTGATTTCAGTATAACTTGGCACACAAGTAGACAACACTAAGATACACAGTTCTGTGTATCAGTTTTTGATTTCGATGAACGGTGTTGCCGTGGTTACTAAAAATAGAAATTTCTGTGAAATTCTTTCAAAATGCTACTCCAAATACAATTTTAGTCTGATTATAATATAAATGTGGCATGCAAGTAGACGGCACTAAGAACATAAAGAGACTTAATCAAGGATCATTATTCTATTTATTGCTGTTGAAAAGTTTCAATTTCCAACTATTAAGTACTTTTCTCTTCCTTTGCTATAAGTACAAACCAGTAGAGCTTCAGTCTCGACAGAGACTTCTGGTTATTAAAACATACTAGTACATGTAATGCAAAATGAACTAAATTATTGTTATGCAAAGTGATAAAGAAAAATACCTGGGATTGATTTTCATCACATGCATTTGGCCTGCACATATGAAAATGAATTATACATTGAAATTTCTTTCATGCAGAGGTACTGGTTAGGATGAAGGAGACAAATCTAAGCAAGGTCCCCATCAGCAACTTCCTCCAAGAAGTGTCTCAAGTAAGGAAGTGCTCGGGATTACCTGATGGCCAGAATTACAGTGGAAAAGTTTATCGATTTGTTTCCACTGTAATAAGAGACAATAAACCTGAAGTGGAAACTATTGTTAGGTAATGGCATCATTAAATTTTTGGATCAAACTTGAATCAAAGAAAACTCAAATGCATGTAATGAGTATTTGCAATTTTTAATATTTTAGAAAAGTAATTTAATACCGATTTATTAAACCATATTTTCTTTTAGAGACATCTTGATTATTTTTTGATTTTTAATATTGAAATGAAGTTCTGTTTAGAGGGTTATACAGTGTTCCTTGAATTCACCCTGTTTTAAATTTGCCCATCAGTGAGTAAGGCAGAAAGGGTGAAAATGAAATGGGCAAAAATTTCCCTGTATAGAGTATTATCCATTTTGACTTGTTAGTACATGTTTAATTACATTCATTACTGATCATGTTGATAGATCACAGAGATGTGCTGGAGGTGTGAGCTCAGATGACACCACAGCTCTTTGTCCAGCATGTAAGATTCTCAGCAATAACACCATCATTGAACAGACATCTAGCATGCACCCTAAGACACCACTTTCTTGTCTTTCAAACCAGCAACTCATTAACGAAGTTAAGGCATCTAGACGGAGCTTAAGAGAGATGAAAACTCAGATACAGTCTCTGACAAATGGTATTTATAATCTTTCTTTCATGATCTTTGAGGGAAAAGATTACTGATAACTAATTTCTGTTTTATTAATAATATTATAATCTGTTTGAATACTGAGGTATAAAATAACAACAAATATTACATGTATTTGAGGCATGTTCCATATCCTTTAATTGGCTACATTGCCAAGATTACAGCATTATTAAATTTGAAAGCATCACAGCACCTATTAGCTTCACTTATTATTCAATTATTATCTTGTTTTAATCATTTCTCTTTACTTTAATAATTGATTCTAACCACCCATACAATCTTATAGGTATGACTGAAACTGTGGCGAATGACGTTGGAGAGGGGCTCTATTCTTCCATCGAAGAAAATCCTCCAGATGACAGTTTTTTAGAATTATTTTGGAAAGAGCAGAAAAAGGCATTCAAGTCCAGTCCTAAAGGCATGCGATGGCACCCTATGATGATACGTTTTGGGATATTTTTGCAATACCAAAGCGCTAGAGCATACGAATCAATTAGAGAATCTGGAGTGCTAAAATTACCCAACAAGTCAACATTGAGGGATTACACCAATGTTATAACACCAGCCACTGGCTTTCAACCATGTGTATTTGAGGTATGTTTTGTGGAAGTACTGAAGATATGACAATAAGGCATCATTAACCAAAAAATATATGATTTTCTTTCAGTAGTACTTAGAATATCTCCAGTGTACTGCACATCAAAAAAGGAGGTGTAATAAAAATGGCGTATGCATATACAGTTCTTTATTGTTATGTTAAATTGTTATTCAGGAACTTACAAAGATGGCCAAAGACCTCCCTCCAGAGAAAAGGTATGTGGCACTCCTCCACGACGAAATGAAAGTCAAGGCTGACTTAGTTTATGACAAAAGGAGCGGGCAAATAATTGGATTTACCAACCCAGAAACTTGGACATTCAATGAGGTATTAATGTAGTACATGTATTACAGTTGTTTTAAGAAATGGATTTTAGCAAAATAGATTAGATTCTACAATTCTTCAGAACTTTGAATAAATTCATTTAATATTTCCCTCTTTTGAGTAGGATGAAGTTAGTAAAGTCGCTACCCATGTCTTGGTTTTTATGGTGGTTGGCATTAATACCCATTCTCTGTAACCACTTAAACTTTGTTGCCACGCATGGTCACCAATTTTGATGAAACTTCACCCATTCTTAGTACTTGACACCAGAAATATATATCAAACAAAATTCCGTTGCTATGTGTCTCGGTTGCCATGGTAACAGCCGGAATAGTTTGAAAAATCGAGATTTTCAGCCACTTTAAATATTGACTGTGGCTTAATAAAAACTAGAAAAAGCAAACAAACCATTCTCACAAAATCATGACACCTTGATGTCACTTATACTGTAAAGAAACTGTTTAGAATATATTTCTAAGTAAATGGAAACCAAGGGTACATTTGGAATACATTTAAAATGCTGAAATATGCTGAAAAACACTCCGTATTCACTAATGGTAGGTGTTACATGCTCAAACTCAATCAACGACTTAAGAAAAACACTGAAAATGTTTGACCTTAAGTATATAAGTATAAGCAATATTATTCTATAAATAACTTTTATGGTTGCCATGGTAACACAGTGTAACCATGCAAAACCAGTAACTAAGATTGGGTTAATGCTACTGTCTTGAGGAAAAACATGAAAATTCAAGACTGGCAAATATGCATCCTTAGGACCTTGCAACACCAAAACATATGAAAAATTGGGTATAATTGCTTCTTTGCAGTGTTACCATGGAAACAAAGTACCAGTGCTTAAAAGTGAATTATTTTTCTCTGCATTAAGAATTAAATTGCCATTTAATCAAGAAACAAATTAAAGGACTCAGCTTGAATAGTACTTATCTGTTAGAACTGAAGTTGAATATCATATATTGATAAAATTTGATGAATAAAACAACACTGTTGCTATGGTTATCAAGAAGGGAAAATGTTCGATTTTGTGAACTTTATATCAATATTAAACCCTGTGTGCCAACTTTTTGCATCCACTTAGAGATTTGATGATAATCAATATTAAAAGTCAAGTTAGCTGTTAATAAATATCAATCATAAAAGTTTTGGGAATCTACATTTAAGGGTACGTATCCAAGGAAAGAAAATATTTTTCAGGTTTTTACGCATATATTTTCTGCTTATTTCCATAGCAACGCTCTATTTAAAGAATCTAATCTTAATTTTTAAGCGGTTAGCTAGCTAACCGCTTTATGGCATGGGCTCCAAAAAACCGGAAACTTCCATAAGGCGCTACCTATCGACATCGCTTTATCGCACGTAACCTTATCCTTCTGCAACCAAAACCGGAAACTTCCACAAGGCGCTACCTATCGACAACGGTAACTTCAGCAAAGCGCTTCCTATGATTTGTATACTGTTGGCGTAATACGCCCCCTGGTGAGAGATTGACAATATGCCGTGTACGAAGAGTGGCTATTATAACGATTATATCGAATTCTTATTAGTATTTACCAAAGCATTGACAATACTTAGAACACTAACTTCAAAGAACTGAGAATTTCGTCCTTATTACATGTACATAGTGCGATCGCGATTTATAGCAACTGTTAGTTTATTTTTGAAAGTTGAACGATACGGTTAATTATACAGCAGGTTGAAGGTTATTACAGACTGCAAAAACATCAGCAAATCTCTCGATCGAGGTTGATTTTCCTTGCCAAAGTATTAAGAAACACCATTTATTAAGTCAAGTCATACCTGAAAAACGTTTGTATAAAAAACACCGAATACATCTGCAAGTTTTACACTTATGGAAACAATAGGATCGCCTCCACAATGAAACGTTTGTTTTCTTCTCTGTCTAATAAACAGTTTTAAAAGCTCAGCTCCCAGGGGTAAATTCTCTCCTCCGTCTTTGATAATTTATTACATGTACAAACGATCATAAGGGATCACTTACTTTTAGTTTTGAAAAAAAATAATGGGGCACTTAAAGCTGAACACTACTCGTAAATAGGCATAGTCCGCCATATTTCCCGTTCTTCAACGCTCTCCCTACAACACGTATATAAGGAGCAGAGGCTCGTAACATAAAGCTTGCTTAGTTTCTGACTATAGTAGGGTCCTAAGTACGTTTTAGGCACAATCTTAGGACCTGTCTTAGTACTACTTAAGTATGTCTTAAACCTTAACATAAAGCGAACTAAGCTAGGTCCTAGCTAAGTCAAACTTATGTCAAAAACATTTCATATGAGTCAACCTATGGTTTTTGATTTTATATAGATATATTGCTAAAAGTGATTCAGTTAGGGGTTTAATTAAATACATATTAAAGTTGACGTCCTTACCTATCGGTTCAAGTTGTGTTAGATCAGATTTCTTATCAAAATTATAATTGTGTTATAAATTATTCGGAATGTTTGAAAACAGATACTGCACGGTCAGAAAGTGGCGATTTGTGGTTCATTGTAAATGTATGACTATTGTTTTATCACCTGAGATGTTTTCAGTTTACCTTTTGTAACTCTTTTGTTTTGACAAATGTTCACTTACCCTGTCGCACACAAGAAAAGAATATCGACCGCCTATCCACTTGAAATTGAAACTCTTAAAAACTCAATTTACATTTTGAATCCCCGCTATGTATCAGGCCATGCATGTCAGAAGCAAAAACTGCAGAAGTTTTATGATATATTCATTTGCAAGTTAATCAAGGTTACAAAAAAAAAATCGGGATATTTTTTCTTATGTCTCCACTTATCAACAATTCTCTCTATCTCTCTCTCTCTCTCTCGAACTGTACATTTATTCTACTTTACAGATACTTTTTAATACTGTATTAGTCATCATCCTCTTTCTTTTCTGTTTTCAAACAAATTATTTCAACTCATATTTTCAAAGTGAACATACAGATCCATGGTTTATTACTGTGTTCAATTTATTTCTATAGCCGAGGTCCTACTAATTTTAGATGTATCCCTAAAATTAAATTTTGTATTTACATTTTACATGTATGCTGTGTTGGGAGTGATATTGGAATCATTGATCACCCCCCCCCCCCCCCCCCCCCCCCCCCCCCCCCCCGAAAAAATAAAATTCTTAAATCAGCGTCAAATAGAGATAATTATTTTCTTTAATGCATAATATGAATAGAGGAATGTTTTAACATCGAAAGTCAACATTAAATTATTCTAAATATATGTACAAGAAAGTTAAGATATACTTAAGTCACCTCTACCGGCCGCCTAAGTTTTGCTAAGATTGTCAAATCTTAGTACGCTTCTAGTTACGGTCTTAAGTTTTAGACTGTACTTAAGTCCTACTTAAGCACTGTCTTAGACTTAAGTAGCCTTTATGTTACGAACCCCAGATCGCTAGTCAGTTCATTGTATTTCACTGTAGAGATCCGACGAGTGTAGACGTACATCTTACAAAGCGTGTTACACAATCTCGATGAAATTATCAAATTTTACGTATTTTTTCCAAAACAGGACAAAAGTATCATGGAAAATACAGGTCAATACATTATTTACAAAGAGAAAATGCACATAAAAACAAGAAATAAACGCAAAAAATCTAAAACCACGAAAGGAGTACTACATGTCGACCACGAGTTTCGAGTGTGCAATCGGGTGTAACGAAAGCGAACGGTTTATATACCCGTCTGACAGTGCCTATTTATGAGAAGTGTTCAGCTTTAAAGTAGTAAAATTAATTTTGAAAAAAAAATGGATAAACATATATTAATTTTAATCGGCATTGTGACCCTCTTCTAAAAATCAACCGATATTATTATTCACAGAAGAATGAGGTATGAAAAATCTTGGCAATTAGCAAAAATTTAAAATTTATACTTAGGGGAGATCCGTCTAATTCTGGACACGGGGTAATTCCTGACAAATAATACAGTCTTTCTCTTTTGTCTTATTTTTCGGTAATTCTGTATGGTTGATTAAAAATGTTAATTTATAAGTTTTGAAAATTTGATCAATTGCTAGGGAACGTATTATCAGCTGTGAAAATACTTTTTAAATTTGAATTTGTCCAGTTTGTCGATCATTATTTTGAGCGTTTGAGAAGAATTGAATTAAGATACAGGTGTTTAGAGGCACATTGATAGAAAAGAAATCAGTGTATATTGTTTAACCGACATATTGAAGAAAGTGACACTGATAACTTCTTAAGTTACACTGACTTTAAGTGTACATTTGAATTTTTAAATACTAGTAATTTTTGATTAGACAACTTTCCTTTTCACATGTTTTATTTGAGAGCAATATTGCATGAAGAGTATATGGCAAATACACATTATGTCCTTATCTAGACATATTGTGCAAGACTTCTTTTAAATGATTCTCATATACCATTTACTTTATTCGAACATTTACTTGTTTGAAAAGTCAATAAAGTACATAAAGCTTGATAATCTTGTTTACTCGCCAGTCTACCCGTACAAGTAGTAGTTCATAATATTACTAAACGGAAGTATTCAGTATCTGTATAAAAATACAGAATGATCAATGATCGATTTCAGAAGAAAAGCTGACTCCTGAAAGTTCAAGAGGTGGGATCCGTTGCCTAGAAGAAGTAAGCATCCCTCGTTGACAGGTTATACCCGCGATGAGCCTATACAACTGGAGCTCTTTGATATCAATTCATTTACAAAGTCTCTGCTCAGTCATCCTTTTTTCTCTGACTAGCCAGCTGTAGATCTACACTACTCCAAATCCATTAATCTAAAGAATTTAATTTGTCATTTTTTTAGTTGTTTGCTATATTAGGCTTTACAATTACCTAACTTCAGATTCAATAGAGCATGAAAGACAAATTTTCAACATCAACATAATTATTTTCATCCAGAGAACGATAGGATGCCACCAAGAGAGAACTTTTAAAAATGCACTTCCTGTCTTTCAAACTGAAGAAATCTCATGTTTAAATTT